TGAAACTGATCAGTGGCTGATTCCAGGAAGCTGGGGGCAGAGCAATTCTGCCTCCAGCTTCCTGTAGTCAGCCCCTGGTCAGTTTCAGCAGCAGCGGCTGAATCTGGAGCCAGTTTCGACTTACATACAAATTCAACTTAAGAACAAACCTATAGTCCCTATCTTGTACATAACCCAGGGACTGCCTGTATATCCAAGTTGGTAATGGCCAATCTGTAGATTCCAGGAAGCTGGGGGCAGAGCAATTCTGCCTCCAGCTTCCTGTAGTCAGCCCCTGGTCAGTTTCAGCAGCAGCGGCTGAATCTGGAGCCAGTTTCGACTTACATACAAATTCAACTTAAGAACAAACCTATAGTCCCTATCTTGTACATAACCCAGGGACTGCCTGTATATCCAAGTTGGTAATGGCCAATCTGTAACAGTTTGGGATGTGACAAAAACTGTGTTAGACGTTGTAGAAACATAATAAATAACAATCCATATCCCAAAGAATATATAGGCTAAAAGAAAAATAGCAGCAGCTGGCTGAGACATAGGTGAGGCCATGATGGGTGGAGGACAGCCAGGAGAGAGTCTGCAAGCTTCTTTTGTTCACCGTTTGTCAGAGTTGGCTGGTTAGATGGTCTGGGGTCTCGCCCTTCTCTCCAACTACTAAACTGCATTAAAATACATTTGTACATTATTCATGTTGCTTTTCCATGTAAGCAATTGCTGTAGTTGCCATAGGAATTCTACATGATTACCACTGACAGGGTAAGTGGTACACAATAATATTTCTCACCCTGGGCGGGTTGCTAAAAATACCAAAATGCAGATGGTGTATTGCCTTAGTAAAAAATTTGGGAATCACTGGTCTGCAAGACACGTCGTAGAAGGTGGTATCCACAGTACGTAAGTGCAAGAATGCCTGATCCAAGCAGCACATATGGTTTTAAACAGAAGTTCCTTTTCCAACAGTGTATGTTTTTTCCCCTAGTATTTTAAATCTGAGAGTCCACAAGCAGCTGCTTGTGCCCAACCTCATGTGAGCGGTGAAAAGCTTCAGACGCTGTTGCTTCATTTGTGACATTTTCTGGACTGGGGGATATTCTAAATTAATTCCTCAGGACCCTGACAGCCTGGACCTGCCATCTTTAATTATTATCTGCAAATCCCTTGCACTTCCTTGACTGAAAATCCCAGCTCCAAGATGTCAGCCTATCCCACTAGAAGCATTTTCCCTTCAAAAGATGAATGCCAAGATATTCAGTGAGAGCCACTGAAAGTGACATAACTCCACTGCACAGAGCACTAACAAAAACATCCCTTGTGTATTTAAAGCCAAAACTTATGCTTATGCAACAGAGCTATGTCAGCTTTAGAAGCTACTGCACAGATGGGTAGTTGCCCCAGACTTATGAAGAAGAAGAAACACTGATGACAGGAAGAAAGAAAAAAAAATCAGCAGCTCATTCATACAGTCACACTTCAGAAGCAGTGGTGGGCTTTCCAAAAGAAGGAGATTCCAGCTAACAGTTTCAACAGAGGCTTCCCTCTATTTAAAGCCTCCTAAAAGTACTGGCAGTATCAGGACCTTCCATAGCAAACACAAGTTTGGATTCAAATACAAAATGCAGCAGGAAGGATGTCTTAGTAAAAAGTTTGGGAATCACTGGTCCACAAGACACATAATCTAAGGAACTTCTGGGCATTGCACTTTACTATGGTCACTAAAATGGAGAAATCCAAAAATCAGAACAGCTTTTAAGACTCTCTATGCATATACGTGCGCGCGCGCACACACACACACACACACACACACACACACACACACACACACACACACACACACAGAGCAAACAATATCAGAAACAAGACTAGTGAAAATGCTGCAGCAGATTCAAGATATAAACACAATACATATTTGAGAGAAGAATGGCATAACCCTACATTTTTATTGTATAAGGTCTTCAGAGCAGGGACTGATTTTTAATTGATATTATACAGTGCCATAAATATCCATTGCACTACATAAATAAATCAAAATGGGTGGAAACTCTCTTTAATTAGATATAAATTTTCATTGAATTGATATTAATAACATAAGGAGAGAACAATTTGACGACCCAGGGAAAAGGAATCCCCATAAATGGAGTCTTTTGTACATCTAGACACAATTTTTTCATCTTTTGAAATATAACGGATTTGTTTTTATATGCTAAAATGGTGCAGAGGTTTAAAAAAAAGCAACACAGTATTCATAAATGTCAAATACCTTGATTAGAATCAATACTTTATTCCTATATTTATATTTTGCTAATCATTGAGTCTGTAATTTCCCTACCAGCCCTGCAGATTTACATATAAATATACATATTTACATTTTAAATTGTATGCAAAAAGTCTTCAGTCTGATTGAGAAATCCACGATGCCGAGAGCTCTCTTTTCAAGCTGACTTTGAAGATGGAGTGATACTTAATACCCAGCATAACCAGGCTTTTCATCTTACACTGTAGAGTAATTACTCCCCACTTCAGAACTACAACATGAGTTATTATCTCTGACTTGTACTCCAAGTGCCATAGCCAGCATGGAAAAATCTGACTGAGAACATTATGGGTTTACTCAAGGGAGTTTGATATATGCTAACTGCCAAGAACAAATCATGACTATTCAGGCATAGTATAATGAGATACAGTATCAGAAATTACACACGTTATTTGGCCTGTATTTTGGAAAGTCATTGCAACTGAATTTCTTCAGGTCAGTCCAAGCCAGCTCATACACGATACTAAACATGTCAATACAAAATTGTAACTGCAGGTATACTATATGCTCATAAAGTACTGTAGAGAGTTTGCATGCAATAAATCTCAATTTTAACACAGAATATCTTCCTGAATTTTGTAATATGAAAACTAAATGAAACTTCACTGTAAATCTTACAGATTGCCATACTGCATGCAGAGCCACAGGCATTAACAAGTATATAGTAATTAGGGGACATCAGTCACAATAAGTCTTAAAAACTGCTACTAGCTTGATACACAGAATAAAGTGAATGGCTCTCTCAGAATGCTTTCAGCATAGAATAAAACAGCAGAGAAAGAAAACCAGAAAAGGAGAAAATAAAAAGAAAATTGTGCATCAATGGGCAACAAATGTATTTGCTTCCTCCAGTTAACACTGCCACCCCAAAACAAAGCAAGAATATGGGGATGAAAATGACTGTACTAGGTAAATCCTGTAAAACAGTCAAGTAAAACAACAGTTTAATGTGGAAAAAGAAGAGCAGCATTTAAATTCCAGTTACAAAATTAAAATCATTGGTCTATCAAAACAATAAAAAGCCTTACCTTCTTACTTTTCCTCCGAGCTTCTCTTCTTGCTTCCTTTTCTCTCAGCCTTTTCTCCTGTGAGATACAACAAGATCTATTATAATTTTAAAGTCATACTCCCATTTTATCTCCAAAGAGTAAAATAAATTCAAAAAGTAGAACTATCCTATTTAACCCACTCTTACTGCGTGCGCGAGTAGAATAAAAACATGTATGACTGAGGCACTATTCTTCCATCTTTGTCCTACCACAAAAGATTAAACAGAGTGCAGATTAAAGTCAATACAAATTAAAATTTCTTATGACTTGTTATACTGCTCTATACACTTACATTTCAGTGTACAATATTTACATTTAATGGTAAAAATGAGAAAGTAAGCATTTTTTCAGTAATAAAGTAGACTTCCGATAATCCGGAATCTTTGGGACCTAGGTGGTGCCGGATTATCAGATATGCCAGACTATCAGGAGGTACTATAAACTGGTTTTTTTATATATATATATATATATATAACTTGGGCAGAACTATGTATTTTCCCCCTATAATTGGTTCTTGGAAATAGTCAAACCATTTCGACTGAGTTATGAATAAATAAGTATCAGCCTTATGTGTACACCCACACACACACACACACACACTGTATCCAGTATATACTGTATATAAAGTGTTTTAACCCTTTTTATTGTACCTACTGGATACAGTATACCAGTGGTCCCCAACACGGTGCCCGCGGGCACCATGGCGCCCATGGGGGCATTTCTGTGCGCCCGCCAAGTGCTCGGGGCTCAGCTGGCCCCGGGCACGTGGTGCATGGCGCATGGGGGGAGCGCCAGCCCCAGGCGCGCAGTGCTTGGGGGGGCTGCCCCCAGGCACGCAGCTATGGGGGGGCACCGCCCCCGCCCTCTGGCGCCCCATGGGTGAATGACCACGCGTTTTTTATTGTACATAATGTTTTATTTTTTTAACCCTTTTTTACCCTTTTTGCTTGGTTCAGCTGCTGCTGCTGCGTTGTGACTCGTTTTTGCCGAAGCTCACTCACTAGGTTCTTGCCATTTTGATGCCGGACTATCGGGAGAGCCATACAATTGGATGCTGGACTACTGGAGTTTTACTGTACTATGCTGTGATCAGTGTTCCCTCAGATTTTCCATCCATGAGCAAAGCGAGTTTTGTCTTGTACACCAATATTGAGGTCAGGAGTGCTTGTTCGGATGTATGCCACTGTTTCACCCAAGTTATAAACCTCTCCCTTTCCCCCCTCTGCTACCATGTCTGCCATCCTCCTCTAGCCCCATCTGTTCCACTAGTGCCTGCTGGTGCCCTCCCCTCCACCTCTCTCTCCCCTTTGCTGTCTTGGCTCCTGCCCTTCTCACTTCCCTCAGCCCCCTGGGACTTGCCCCACCTCCCCATCCTCTCTGATCCCTACCTGCCCATCCCTTCCCCTTTGTGCCCACCCATCCTCTAGCTCCTTACCCCTAATACCTCCCTCTACCCAGCTGTACTGCCTCTCTCCTCTGCCCTCTGGTGTCCATCCCTCATCTCCAATCCCCTCCCCACGTCTGCCTTTCTCCTTCACTCCCACAGTCCTCGTGGCATCTGAACCTTCCCTTACCACTTGCACCCTCCTGGTGCCCTCCCTGTCCCTCACTGCCCCCACCTTCCCAACGCCTGCCCCCCTGCCCTCTTTCTCTCTGGTGCCCACCCCCTCACCACTCTGCCCCAGTTTTCCTCAAGCCCCTTTGCACCCTCACACATGATGTACTCCAACCCCCACCTTCTTCATGCCCAGCCCTCCTTTTAACCCCACTCCTCCCTTCTCTTCCTTCCTCTTGCCCCCATTGCTCCTCCTCTTTCCTCTCCCAGCATCACCATGTCCCCTCCCCCGTCTCAATCCTACTGACACCTGCCCATTTACCCCTCTCCCACTCCTCCTGCCCTTTCCCCCCATTGTCTCCTCTTGGCCTCCTGGTATTTTTCTCTCCTGTACCCTGCCCCTTGGTGCCTTCCCCTTTCTTCTCCTGCCCTACCCCCCTCCTTTCCTCTCAGCACAAGCCCCTTCCTCTCCTCACCCCCATCTTCCCCTTAGTTATCCACTTACCCCTTCCTTAGCTTCTGCCATCCTGACACCTGCACCTGGTGCCATAGTGCTATTTTTAGTACAGCGGTCCCAGCCCCAGCAGCCGTGGCCTCAGCTGCCTTTGGAACTGAATACAATTCCTGGCTTTTTTATACAAAAACTATTAATAAACTTAATAAAATATTGTCTCCAAAGATGTTGCATGCCATTGTACCATCTGTCACTCCACTGACCGGCTCTACTCCAAGACACTCATCCATTTTTGGACTTAAGCAATAGCATAGGTGACAGCTAGGCCATGTGACCTCTAGGTGCGCTAGGATATCGCAAGGGAAATTTGCGCCAAACAATGAGAAGCCAAAAGCAAGTTTTACAGAAGTAATTTAGAGGAGGAGAAAGGAATCCACGTGCTGACATGTTAAATATATACAACCACCAAGATGATCAAGATGGTGTGGCATGAATCAAGATGGATATTTTATATGGGTGACAAAGGGCCACGGGCAGCATAGCTAGAGAACCCTACTTTTAATTTGTTTCTACAGGCCCATATAATTAATCAGAATATCACAGAACTCACAGAAAGGTAGGTTTGGGAGAGACCTCTATGGGTCATGTAGTCCAGGCCCCATGCTGAAGCTGGGCATCTCTGGCAGTTGGTGATCTAATCTGTTCTTCTAAACCTCCAATGACAGAGATTCTACAATCTCCCCAATAAAATGTTCCAGGCCTTAACTAACCCATCCAGACATTTTCCATAATGTCTAAACAGCCAAGCCATTATTAGAAACATAAATAAGATAGGACCAAGAACCAGTCCCTGACGGATCTTTCTGTTAATGCAGTTTAATGTGGGTTTATGGAAAATAGATCCTATCAAACTAATGTGATTGTTTTCAATGAGATTACAAGTTTGGTTGGTAAAGGTAATAATGTTAATGTAATTTACTTAGACATTTGTAAAGGGGTTAATTTTGTATCACATGATGTTTTGAGCACAAAACTAGAAAGATGTACAATTAAGCTGATTAAGCCCAAATGTCCAATTTTTAGTGGACAGAGAAAACAAATGATTGTCGTCCTCTTTATATATACTTATTATCAGCCCTGCTCCCCGATCTTCTTTTCTCAAGACTACACATCCCTTTTTTAAAACCTTTCCTCATAGGTCAGATTATCTAAATCATTTTTTTGTTATTCTTCTCTGGGGTCTCCTGAGTTTGTCTACTTCCTTCTGAAATTTTGGTGCCCAGAAATGGACATACCACTTCAGCCAAGCCCCCACCAGTGCTGATTAGCACACAACAATTCTCCTAACAATGGTGGAACCAGACTGCTGGCACTAAACATTATAAGGCCGTAGAGCAGTTTTTAAACTAAGAGATGGGGGAAAGCCGATTGGTGCGGAGATGCACGTAAATTGGAGAGAGACTTCTCTTAGAGGAGAATCCGTTGATAGAAATTCTCTAAGCTGTAGTCGGAAAGAGAGGAGGGGAAGAGAGCAAACCATGGGCCAGAGCTGACAAACAACCGCATACAAAGGAATCCAATGCATCAGGGAAGGGCAGACAAATAACCAGTGGCAAATTTTTAAAGTGCTTGTACACAAATGCTAGGACTCTGACTAATAAGATGGGTGAACTAGAGTACCTCGTATTAAATGAGGAGATAGACATAACAGGCATCACTGAAACCTGGTGGAATGAAGAAAATCTGTGGGACACAATCATACCGGGATATAAAATATATAGAAAGGATAGAGCAGGCCGGGTGGGTGGCGGAGTGGCACTGTATGTGAAAGATAATGTAGTATCAAATGAAATAAAAATATTAAGTGAATCAACATGTTCCATAGAATCGCTATGGATAGAAATTCCATGCTCCAATAATAAGAAATTAGCAGTAGGGATATATTACCGACCACCTGACCAGGACAGCGATACTGACATAGAAATGCTGAGGGAGATTAGAGAGGCTACCAAAATAAAGAACTCTATAATAATGGGGGATTTTAATTACCCCCATATTGACTGGATACATGTCACCTCAGGAAGAGAAGCGGAGATAAAATTTCTCAATGGCTTAAATGACTGCTTCTTGGAGCAGCTAGTGCAGGAACCCAGACGGGGAGAGGCAATTCTCGATTTACTCCTGAGTGGAGTGCAGGATCAGGTCCAGGATATAACCGTTACCGGACCGCTTGGGAATAGTGACCATAATATAATAACATTCAACATTCCTGTGGTGGGAAGAACACCTCAGCAGTCCAGCACCCTGGCATTTAATTTCAAAAAGGGGAATTACACAAAAATGAGGAGGTTAGTTAAACAGAAATTAAAAGGCACAGTGACTAGAGCCAAATCCCTGAAAGCTGCATGGAAACTTTTTAAAGACACCATAATAGAGGCCCAACTTAAATGTATACCCCAAATTAAAAAACATAGCAAGAGACCTAAAAAAGAGTCACCGTGGCTTAACCACCATGTAAAAGAAGCAGTGAGGGACAAAAAGGTATCTTTTAAGAAGTGGAAGTCCAATCCTAGTGAGATAAATAGAAAGGAACATAAACACTGTCAAATCAAGTGTAAACATGTAATAAGAAAAGCAAAAAAAGATTTTGAGGAACAGCTAGCCAAAAACTCAAAAAGAAATAACAAAATGTTTTTTAAGTACATTAGAAGCAGGAAGCCTGCTAAAAAGCCTGTGGGTCCCCTAGATGATCGAGCTATAAAAGGAGCAATCAAGGACGATAAAGCCATTGCGGAGAAACTAAATGATTTCTTTGCTTCAGTCTTCACGGCTGAGGACGTTGGGGAGATTCCTGAATCTGCACCGTCCTTTGTGGGTGATGAATCTGAGGAACTGTCCCGGATTGAAGTGTCATTAGAGGAGGTTTTGGAACAAATAGAAAAACTTAATGTTAACAAATCTCCGGGACCGGATGGCATTCATCCAAGGGTTCTAAAAGAACTCAAATGGGAAATTGCTGAACTATTA